AGTTCATAGTGATAAGTTTTGAAAAGAAAATTTAATGATTAACTGTAAATTTGGATACTCTCGAGAGCTTTAGCCCGTCATATGGAAGTCTCTACGGAAATTTGTAGCCCTAATATTTTCTTATGCAGAGAACTGCTGGATTTGATGCAAGCAGGAACATTGGAACCAGAAATTGCATTGCTCAATGCTTTACTAGTAAGCTCCATTCTACTGCATATCTTATAATCTAACTCCTTTTACTTCCTCTCTGTATACCTTATAATTCAACACCTCTCACACTACCTCTTATTTTTTGGTCTTTTTGTCTTTTGTTTTGTTGGGTCTGATATTCATCATTAGACAATCAAAACAGATACCTGACGTTTTCCCTGTGCTTGCCGCTGCTCATAAGACACTTGTAGCTAAATCGAGAGGGGCACTAACAACAAGGACTCTCCATTCTGAGCTTGTTTTCAACTACTCAGGCTCTAAACATGTAAGAAGCATTTTCCTTAGCTCATCATGGTTTTTATATTTAAATTTTTTGATGATGTTGCTGCTGTTGTACCAGATATCGGAATCTTTGAAAAGATGCGGTATATCTGACAGCACAAGTTACATTCTTGTGGCTCGGTTTGGCGCTTCGGCTGATGAGGTGAGACCTGATTTTCAGCGTTATGCATTAAGTTCTAATCTCTAATTTAGAGAGAATAATAAGCAAGCAAAACATAGAAAAATACAAAGATAACGTAGATACATAGAGGTTCACCCTCTATATGAGACCTTTATGCACCCGTAGCTGCTGCCTGCTGGTTTTACTAAAATAAAATAGGGTCCTGTACGTACGTTTCTTTACATACAATAGGGAATTATGGATATGCCAATATAACCCTATGATAAAAAAGGGGGAGAAGGTGGGGTGGTCACGGTTGAGGGTACAAGTGAACAGTGTAATTAGGATCTCACACAGACCAACTTAATGAACAATATAGAGTTGGTGTATCTTTTCACTTTCAAAGATTCTGTTTACTTTCTTAAATGAGTTCGTAAGCTTTTACTTTTTGAACAGGTAACAGCCATAAAGGAGCTTATCAAGGGAGCAGAAATCAAGTTGGAAGAATTGGAAGGACGAGCAAACCAAGCCCAGATACAAAAAGTTTGTCCTCTATCTCCCCCGTGCCCTTTTACATCTTTTATCTAATCTGTATTTGTTTCTCATGTTGACGTTTTTGTCTCTCTTGTATCAACCAGCACTACAAAATACCCGCCTTGGAGTTGGGAATATCTTCACTTTCAGATGCTATAACATGCAGGATTGCAGCACGAGATGCCTTGTGAAGGAAAACAGTTCTATCTCTATTTTGTTAATCAAATGAGTTTCCCCTGTTTGATGTTTACTTTTCCTGGAGTCTGAGGGATATAATATGCTATTTAAATTATTCTTCCAATGTAATTTTGCCATGGTATGGAGGTGAACATGTTGGAAGTTTGAAATTGTGTGCCTGCAAAGGGGGATAAGTTTTGAAACAGATAACTTTTTGTTGGTTAAACTTGAATGAAAGTATCTGTTTGTAATTTATAAATCAATGTGATATAAATATAATTTTATTGTGACAGGGTTCTTTGTACTAAAAATGAAAATTGGAGAGCTGCAATGCCTCTCTAGGCTAACGACAATTATCCATGTAGAGTCATTATTATTTAGGGTCCATTTGATTGCAAAGATGGAATTGAATTGCCTAGAAAATGAATTCCAGGGAATTGAGTTGTCTAGAATTGTTTTCCTGGTAATTGTAAATTAATATGTTTGATTGGTATAATTTTTTATGTGGAAAATGTTGAAATAAACGGGGGGTTTTATGTTCGTTTGACTTTGTTTTACATGGAAATTGTCAATTAAAGGAAAATATTTTTTTACAATAATTCTTAGAATTGGTTTCTATTATCAACCAAAAAAAAAAAAAAACAAACAAACGTAGAAAAAAAAAAAAAGTCGCTACAGTAGGGTGAGAATTTATATGGTGAGAATTCAAATTCCACCAAAACAAGAAAAATTTTAAGTTTCAAGAAATTCAAAAAATGCAATTCCATGGAAAATCTGAGGTATCAAACACCAAAAGTAGGAATTTTCAGTACCAATTCCATCTTTCTTTTTCTGTTTTCATGATATCAAACACTCCCTTAGCCTTTTTTTCGTTTTTATGTGTTAAAAGATTCAGTTCTGCTAAGAGTATATCACCTCATACCTAAGGGTGTCCCTAATGGATGACGAGGCACCTGACGCACACGAAGGCCCACAAGTGAGGCGTCAATGGCAAGGAGCCGAGTATCCATTATGGACACCCTTAGGTACAATATGATGTACCTTTAGCATTTTTGTAAAAGATTAGCCCCCGTTTGATCCTTTTTTTCCTTCTCATTCTTTCTTTTATTTTCGATCACACAATCTTTCATAAAATAATATTACACGGAAATTTTAAAAAAAATTATTTTTTTTTCAACGGCAAATTTAAAAAAAAAAATACTATTACAACAATTAAAATTTGAAAAGAATGAGGGCCAAAAAGGTGCTAAAATTTTCAAACAAAGATATAATCCAATAATATTAAATTTTTTAATCAATTGTTGCCTTTATTTTTTATTATGTAAAATAATGAAAAATTCCCATCTTTAGCTGCTACAAAGTACAAATCAATAATTAACTTAACTTCATATATCGTAAACAAGCCTTTTAAATCCATATTTTCTTTCTTTGGTCTCATTAAAACGTGGAAAGCACAAAACAATCTAATCAGTAATTTCATTTATACTTTTGCTATGTATTGACACTTGGCCGACTCACTGGCCCCATGGCCCACCTCTTCCGACCCACGTGACATATTATTCGAGGCTCCTAGGCCTCATGCCAAACGTGGCTCAACTACTGATGCCGAAACTAATATGTCGAAGTGACCTTGTAGCTGAGGCCCTTCCTTCTGAGACTCAATTTTCTCTCGAAGTCCCAAGGTTCTAAGCAGCACTCCTCCTCAGAGATCCAGTCTTACACAAGGATTTTTCTTGAGTGATTGATGGGACACCCAGTGTCTTGTCTTGTCAACGTAGTGGCAGAGCAGCTAGTTAATTAATGTGTAGCAGACTAGGAAGTCAAATGTGACACCTATAATTAGATATGTAAACTTACTAGATGAGGTCAAATATACTCCCAATCAAGGGTCACGATTTAAGTAGCAATACTATAAATATTCCCCATGTATATCTCATAAGGGTAATGCAAGATTCAACACAATAACAAACACAATATTCTTTACATTTTACTCCCTTGCAATATACATGAATTCGTACTCGCATTCTACAAATATCGATTGGTAATTATTGTACAATCATTATGCAAACATCTCGTTGGATTCCGAACGTTCTCGTCCCGCGCCTTTGAGTCGCTCCCACGCCCCCTTTTGTTATTATTTCTAGACCGTCCATGTGTCTTAACGTGTTGGACCAAGGTTACGTGTTCGCGGGTGGGTCCGATATCTGTTGTCAACATATTCTGAGGTCAACACTTCGTAAATTGCAATCAAACCAGACATTTATTTTGTTTTTTGTATGAATCCAGACGCTGCCATTTTGTTTGATATTGTAGTATTACTCCCAGAAGTTGGTTGTGGAACGTGTCATTTTTTTTCTTAGAGATGGAAATAAAGTGATCCACATGTTAGCCATTTTTGCTATGTTGATTTGATATTTGTTTAGATGAACTTATTGTATACAATCATGTTGAGTGCCAGAATTATTTTGACACCTCAAGTGACCTATATTCACAGTCGTGATGGGTGGAGTGTCATTTTTTACATTTTTTATTCACGTAAGGTCGGCATGGGTCCTATGCCAATGTGAGGATCGATCACCTATGTGGACAAAATTCATTCATATGTCACGCTAGCTTTATTCTAATGTATCCAACTCTTTATTTCGTCAGCTGTTTGATTTAAGGAGGTTTGCCAGTTCTTTTTCTTTAAAAAAATTGCAATCAAATTAGAGCTTTTATTAACTTAAACCAAATAATAAAGCTTATTACAAAATAACATCCTCTTTTGATGTGAAAAAGGGAAATTGCTGCAAATGGTCCCTAATATATAGCCATCGTGCTTTCATTTTATGTGCAAAACATATTTTCGGATGATTTCCACCCAATCTCGTTGTTAAAGTACACCTATTTTAATTTTTTTTTTTTTATAACTAAGTATCCCTATTTTAATAAAAATACATTTATACCCTTCATCAATTTATATATTTCATATACCAAAGAGAAAGACTTGAGAGATAAAAAAAAAAGAAAAAGAAATATAAATGACCGACTTCCATCATTTTTGGTTTTTACAGTAGTAATTAGTAGTGTTGGTATCATTTATCACATCTATTATTGGTATCATTTTAAGTCATTTTCAATTGTGATATTTCGCTCACTTTTATTGTTATCATTTCATTATATTTAGACTTAGAAATAATTAATACAAAATTCCAAAAAATAGAATACAAGATAAAGATGACTATTTTTTCTTGTAGAATATTTATTCTAAATACTTGACATTATCAGACTTTTTGGTTTTTTGTTTCTCACTCTTATCCTCCCAAAGGAGGATCGAAGCAATACCAATGATAGAGTAACGTATCACTTTTACAAGAACTCAAACCTCAATATTGTCTGACTTTTTGACTTTTAGGGATTCTATTTTTTATTTGAATTAAACTTGTGGTACATCCGGGGTACCAAAGCGTGTACCTAATGGACACGCGACGACCCCCGGTTGGAGGAAGCGCATGATTCTACTTTTTATTTGAATTAAACTTGTGGTACATCGCTTCCTCCAACCAGGGGGTCGCCGCGTGTCCATTAGGTACACGCTTCGGGACCCCCTGATGTACCGTTAGCATTACTGTTTTTATTTTATACTTTTAACATTTATGCAAATTGAAATTAAAATTTTACTTCACCATGTTATTTTGGATGCGATCATGTCATTTGTACCAAGTTGTCAAAATTCATTTTTGACTCGTAGACTCATAAATTTTTTTATTTTTTATTTTTAAATCACTTGAGTTTGTAAACAATATAACAAAATAAGACTTGAATTGCAAAGAATGAATGCATTCATCAACTATTCCACAACCCTAGCTTGATTTTTGTTGCCTCCTTATCTTAAATAAGATAACGTGATAATTACTGTTCATTTTTGTCACATAAGTTTTCACATTAAACTGGTTTGACAACAGTAAATTATTCTATTCAATCACACGCCATTTCACCATTTTCACACGTCGAAACATTGTAACGTCACTTCCATTGCAATATTTCTCCATTTTCACACACTACTTCACTTTATGAAAGCTGATACTATATTATATAATAAAGAAACAAAACTAAATATAAAGATTAAGGAAATGCAGGCAAAAATAGAAAAAAATTATTATAAAGTTTTTAAATTAAATTAAAATGATTTAAAATTAAAAATAAATATTATTTAATTCAAATTTAACAAATGTCTTTATATCATAACGAATGTTTAAATATTATTTTACTAAACCAAAGTAAACAAATAAAATAAAAGAAAGGTACAAAAATTAAATAAATAATATATAAATACTATTTAATTAATTATTAAAATTGAAAAAAAAAATTCTATAAAAGAATTAAGAAAAAATTTATATCAAAATATAATATGAACAAAATTATCTCTCGTTGAAAAAAAAATAATAATAATAACTTTCCCCGTGGATGGAGAGATCCCCGTGGATGGAGAGGATAGAATCTCTCCATCCATGAAGAGAGTATTTCCTTTCAAAAGGAGAGTTATCTCCTTTTCAAATGAGTGAAACCTCTCCTTTCATGGAAAGTTTCCTTTTCATGAGATTGAGTCTCACGGAGAGATCCTTTCAAATGGGTGGAAAAAAATTTCTTATTTATTTTTTTTGTAATTTGTTTTGTTGATATTATAGATAATTTTTTTCTATTTAAATTTTTTGTGAATTCTTTTATCTTTATTTATGATTGAACTTAATTTTTTCAATTATTTTTTCTCTCCGTAAAAGGAGAATTTTTTTCTATTTAGTAGTAATATTTTTAAATAATATTTTGTGACACTGTAACTTTTTTTTTTAATTGGTGGAGTAGAAACGACATCGTTTTCTATTTTACCTACAGCTTACATGCTTTGAATCTAACACACAATATTATTTCTCTATTTTCTCAAGCTATCAATTATCGACCATATCCTATAAATTTATTAGTAATGATATTTTTTTACATAAAAGTTATTCTTTGTTTCTAAAACGCAAAAAGTTACTTATAACTAAAAAGATCACTTCAAGTTATTTAAAAGTAAAACGAACTTATAATTGTAAAATCTACTTATAAGTAAAAAATATTAACTTAAAAATTTTTAAGTATCTAAATACTTATGAGTAAAAAAAATATTAACTTGAAATTTTTAAGTATAAATATGTAGATGTATTTAGTTTTTTAAATTAAATATTAAAAAAATTACACTATCTAGAATTTAAAAAGTTACTTATAAGTAAAAAAAATCACTTCAAGTTATCTAAAAATAATAAAAAACTTATAATTGTAAAAGCTACTTATAATTTTAAAGAAGTATTAACTTCAACATTTTTAAGTAAATATTTAGATATATTTAATTTTTTTAAAATTAGATATTAATAAAAAATTACTATAATTAAATTTTAAAAAAACATAAAATAACACTCCGTGTACAGAGTTTTTTTTTTATAGTTTTTTTTTATTAATATTTAATTTTAAAAAATTAAATATATCTAAATATTTACTTAAAAATCCATGCATAGAGTGAATATTCACTTTGTGCATGGTGCCAAAAAAAAAATGCGTTTTGGAAATTTTTTCTTATTTATTAATTTTGTAATTTGTTTTGTTGATATTATAGATAATTTTTTTTCTATTTTAAATTTTTATGAATTCTTTTCTCTTTATTTATGTTTGAATTTAATTTTTCAATTATTTTTTTCCGTGAAAGGAGATATTTTTTCCTATTTCAATTTTTTCAATATTAATTTTTTTATATTTAAAATTTTTTCTATTGGTGGAGGTGGAAATTACTGTTTTTTTTTTTTTTTTTTGCACAAAGTTGGACTGTTCATTTTTGTCACATACGTTTTTACATTTAACTGGTTTGAAATGAGTTTAGTCAAAGTAGTTTGGATTTTTTTTAATTATATTATAAAAAAATATAAAGTAAGTAATCTATCACTCTTTTAAGTCACTCATTCTCCCTCCTTCAATTCAATCAATTTTTGTCCAATAGTTCAAAGATGCATGTTTTGAGTATGTTTAGAGTCTTTTTGGTCTAGTTAGTAGTGTTTACATTTCTATTGTTGTTTGCATTTGTAAAAAAGAGGATTGTTGATTTGTTCAATAGTTTAGACTTCAAAGATGCATGTATTACCCATTTGTAGTTTCTTTAAAAAGAGAAAATGTGCCCAACCTATAAAGGGAAAAGAATTAAAAAGAAAAAGAAATTTATAACGTGAACAAAACAAACTTAGAAAAATATTATGTAATTAAACAAAAAAATTAAACAAAATAAAGTTACAAAAATGAAAAAAAGAATATATTAATATTATTTAATTAAAATTGAAAAAAATAAATTTTATCATAAAGAGAAAAGAATTAAAAAGAAATTTAAATCCAAAATGAAAAAAAAAATTATAATATAAACAAGACAAATTTAAATAAAAAAATAAGGAAAAAATACTTTCCATGGACGGAGAGAATCTCTCCATCCACGGAGAGAGAGTTTCTCTCCGTGAACTCTCCTTTCAATGAATGAAAATTTAATTTTATTTATTTAATTTTAAATTTTTTTATTTATATTATAGATAAACTTTTTAAAAAAAAATTTCTCATTGAACTTAATTTTTTTAATTACTGCTTTTATCTCCTTAAAATGACAATTTTTTTCCATTTAAATTTTTTCCAATATAAATTTGTTCAATGTAAAATTATTTCGATTTTTTTACTGGTGAAAATTACTGATTAATTTATTTTTTAAATTCTTTTGTTCGTATTATAGATAAATTTTTTAGCATTTTTTTTAATTCTTTTCTCTTTATGATTGAACTAATTTTTTCAATTACTGCTTCTCTCCTTCAAAGGAGAAATTTTTTCTATTCAAAATTTTTTCAATATAAATTTGTTTGATTTAAAATTATTTCAATTTTTTCTACTGGTGAAAATTACTACTTTTTTTTGCACAAAGCTGAACTATTCATTTTTGTCATTACTATATTGAATCATTCAATTTCAAAATTAATATCACAAATAACTTACCTCAAATAATTATTTTTATAATTCACTTCTTCTTTAAACGCTAAACTCATATCAACATTAAAAACACTAATATGAAGTTCAAAATAATTCTACTCGTGCATTGTACGGGCGATAGACTAGTATTCATAGAAGGCCAAAGTTGCAAAGATTAATATGTACTTACCTTTGAAATGCAACAATCTGATGTGAGATGAGAGGCAAAAAAGTAGAAGCTGGTCATGATTTTTTAGTGTAGTCTAAATTTTTAGATAAACTACTACCCAAATTAGAGATTTTAGGTTTTTATTTTATGACCAAGCCTATAAATTGTAAAAAATAAAAAATCGATTCCATTCGAGTACCCAAAATTTTGTTTTGGTTCAAGAATCAAGAACTGACTCAAAACTAGTTGGTTCTAAGTTTCGTTTCTTAATGTATTTTTTTCTTTGGAATTAGATCGAAATTGAATCGAACTTTTTATTTTGTAGTCTATGTTCTCAATCTCAGACTCTCAGTTCTCAACTTATTCTTTACAATTCGAGCTTTTTATTTTGTTGCATTATTTACAAACTTAAGTAATTTTTAAAATTTTGTAGATGATGCATGGCAATTGAGCATAATACATTCATAGCTTGGGCTATGGTATACCTTTATTGTTATATTGAGTTCATGGTTCTATTTTGGAATATTTTTTTTTCTTTTTTACTTAAATAGAGCGAGCTCAATACGTAGACTGTAATTTCTTAATATTATATAATTATGTATCTTGTAAGTATTTTTTTTTTTTATGTCAATTCATTTTATAAGTAAAATAATTTAAGTGTTATTCATAATTAATTATAGGCTCTAGCATGCCATAATGGATTGAATAAGATTTATTAAAAAAAATTCTTGTGAAATTATAATTTAATTTTTGGGTTTTAATTTTCTCCGCTTTTCATGGTTTTTAGTCTTCGACATTTTGAATTATGTAGATGAATTTCTTAGTTCCTTTAAAATATCTTAACTAAGTTTTCTCCCTTGTACAAATATTATCGAGTAGTAGCATGTTAGGTAAACGTATCAAAAGTGCCTATATGAAAATGTTTATTAAATGTAAATTAAAAAAATGTTATTGGTAGAATTGAATAGGAACCGACAGTTCGGATTAGAGTTTGATTCCAATAATTACAATGACCCAAATAATTCTATTTACGAAATACTCCGAATATGATGGATGGTTTCGCGTATAGAATTACTCGAATCAACCCATTCGACGCCATGACCTAGTTGCAAAATTGTATATTTGATTAAAAAAATGTTTAAAAAAGGTATAAAAAAATAAAAATAAAAATCTATCAATAAAAAAAATCCCAATGGAACAATCTTAGAACATATAGGGACACACAAGTAATAGGATCGTGGGGTCAACGTCAAGAATGGAAAGTTAGGACCATACATTAAAAGTCTCTTTGGTTTGGATTAAAATCTAATATTAACTTAAATCAAAGTCAAACAATCAATATTAAACACATTATTCATGGACCAACAACTTTTCAACTACACGTTTCAAAAACTTCCATTACAATCTACTAAAAAAATCTAATTTTAATCATCACCAAACATCCTCTTAATATTACAACCTATCTATAAACTAATCCATTCATTAATATGTACATACCCCGATACCCGTGAATTCACAACCTTCCCCATAACAGAACGGGGGAAAGAGCCATCAATTATGCTAGCTATGAAGCATAATAAAGCCAGAAATGTACTTCAGATAATACAAGAAATAAAGAATCAGGAATGCCAAATTAATTGTTCCATCCATTTTCCACAAAACTTCATCAAAAAAATTATGCCAGAAGCACCTATTATTTGTACATCAAAAGTCATAATATTACGACGTGAAATGTTAGATAGTCCTACCTTTTTCTGTTGTAGGAAACAAAACGTGGACAGGGAATATTGTAGAGAATTTCATCTATCCTACATGAGTAAAATTAATCACTAACAGAAGTAAATCTTCAAATCAAGAGCAATTTTTCCAAGCTAACATACTTTAAAGAACTTGAGCATCATTTTCTGACTAGTCGTCATCCTCTGAATCTGTAAAGGGATTCTTAAGTGTTATAAGATTTATGTAGATAAAAGTTTTTAGAAGGGAAAGAATTGGATAAACAGTTAAGATTATCATAGTTCCAAAGGGTTTCTTAAAGTGAAAAAATCAGAAAAAAAATTACTATATATTAGGCTCATGATGAAATATTTCTATACAAGTGTGTGAACGTCATCACCATATGAGAAAATATAAATTCAAGACATACTATTCTGGTGTTAGTCTGTAGCAAGTATCCAAATCAGATGTCCTGATTGGCTTATGTTACATGCTTCACCAAGTGGATCTCCTCAGAAGAAGAAATCAAGGGTTTCAGCTTCTATTTCACCACGAGGGAAACTTGTCTCTAACTCATTTATCATTTATGTGCTTTCTTTGTTATTAAGCGTAAATGGCAGAGATTCCATATTCTTTCGTAGGCAGACAAAAGCAAACTAGCACAAAAAACTATGTATTACGGGGCAATTAGCCAACGAGGAAACAATTAAACATAAATGTGAAATAACACAATAAGATGCCTACCTGATCGTATATCTTCTCCAACTTTTCCTCTGTTCTTCAGTTGTCTTCTGATCATTAAGCATATTAGAATCCACCAATAGACATGAAAAACAAGCAGCATCAATAGCATTGTATTGAAGACATAATATATAGCTATGTGATATGGCTCTGACAGGTTCAAGACTTCGCATGAGTAGTAGCTGAGGAACGGCAACCAAAAAAATCGCAATTAAAGGAGAGGTGCCAAATGCTTTATTTTACAGTAAGAATCAAGTTCAAAACCAACCTTGAGGATCGTATAACCCAAAATGGAAAGAGTACCAGCCTTAGAGTAAACCATGAGATGGCAAACAAACCAAAGCACACGCTAGCTCCAAGCTCATTTTCAGAATATTTAAAAACTTTAGCGGCTTCAAGAAATACATCACTTGCGTCATGCAATGCAAGGATGACTGCACCTATCCGAAAGAACCTATATAAAATGAATATCCAAACACTCTGTTAGTTCTAATATATATCTATAAGTTAAAATTTGAAAAGGAGAATAAATTAATTTTATCTTGTGGAGCATATTCAAATATGCTTTTAGTGCTGATTTATTCAATCAAGGGAATCAATATTTCGGTGGTAAGAGATCGTTTAAACATATCACTGCTCCATTTTGATACGCATAAACCTAACATCACTCTCCATTTGGATACCCATACCATCTAATCTCTTTTGGTATGCATAGAAATAGTCAAAATGAAGTTATTTATCTATAGATTCACTAGTGTGGAAAATGTACACCAAATAATTCTGATTTCCAACTCCATTTATCCAAATAATTTTAATGTTACTTGTTTGCTCAGATTAATCCATGCCAAGATGATAAGATGCAAATATTTGAAACCTGACCGGCGGATTAATATAGAGGACTGATGCAAAGACCCATCCCATTTCATTTCTTTACAACTCTGTAAAATCTTTTAAGAAGTTCAATATTTCAGAACAATAAGAGACAGATGAAGCAAAAAGATACCTTGCCATGTATGAGTAAGCAATCAGAATAACAGTGACAACATGATGTGACATCATAACAGAGAAATCCCTCCGCCTTGTTTCCCAGGTAAGGAGGGCAGCAATGCTATAGATGTAGAAGCCACATTGGCACATATAAATGAGTATCAAAGGAAGCCTGAAATGGACAATGCAACAGCTAAGTTTGGATATAAAGCATACCATCAATACAATAAGGCTATCTATTAAACAGAACCCTAATGAAGTTTGGCAGCATTGTTAATATGACATTGGCAACATGTGTACAAGACTAGTAGTCTATTCCTAACCAAGCAGGTAAGAAATGGTTGGAATACATCGAACAATATTATTATAGTGTTATTGGCTACAAAAAAGACAACACGTTGCATCAACAGCCACTCTGGATTTTCATCGAGCAATTAGAGATTGAAAGTGCATGGGATGTAATGTTTCATCACTAGTGTACAAGAATCATTTTAAATTGGAAGACATGAACCTTAAATGAAGTTTTTTTATTTTTTATTTGTATTATTATTTTTTTAATTTTTGCAGGTAACAACATGCACAGATACAATCACAGAAACAAACAGTTTGCATGTGATAGGCCGTCTACTAGAAGGCACAAATTAAATCACACGACAGCAGAGTTGAGACTTGAGACAATTAAGTCCATGAGACAATATTTCATGTTTTCCCCCTGCATTATTTGTCAAACAACGACAGTGCCTGACCCCAACAGTGTTCTTTCAGTTTATAGTCGAAAAGGAAACAAATCAATACCAAATAGTAACGGAATGAACTGGATATAAAGTTCATTTGTTTGACTTGTGAAAAAGAGAGAATCAGAAACATTCCTGTCCCTCCGAACCATATATTGCAGGAAATTAAAAAATTTACCTGCAAGTAGAGCCATGGGTCATCGAAATCATGGACCTAACCTAGAATATACAGAGCAATATAATGGCATCATCGGAAAGATCATTATGGGAAATCAATATTTACTTTTTGATGGATATCATTTCTAATCAACTCAGCAAAACGTTGTCACACACTTATTTCGGGTAGGCTACATGGATCTATTTTCCGCTCCACTATCAATGGGTTAAATTACAAAGGCTCAATTCTTTTTAGGTCACCTATCAAAACAAATTACATTAGGATAAGACGGTGTATATTCCGTATTTTGCATGAAAGTTTGATATAGAATGTCAAAATATTCTTTCGGTGTTTCCCTATAATCTCATGCTCAACTAGTTATTTCATCTAACGTGGAGCAATAGTCAATAAGCAAAATGAAAGAGCCTATTAGACAATGTTAAAGATCATCAGCGAGGACAGCAATTTCATCAGCTATTGGGACAATGTCAAAGAAATGTATCATCACTTACTTCAAATCTTGATTGGGCCAACCTCTCAAGTACTCCTTCATATCCCTGAACCATGACTCATGGTAATTAACTGATAAAACACAAAACTCAACAGCAGCATAGTATGTGAGCTTCCACATAGACTCTGAAAATTTCACTATTTTTGCCCTTGTAGCCTCATTAATCTTCAGCAGACCATTTCCGCTGCTCAACAACCAGATGGCGAACCTCTGGAATAGATGCAACAATGTGAGGAAGACACATTTTCCCAACGAATAATTACTATTTCTCTGTGGTTGCTTTCCTATCAGCAAAATATAGACCTCATTATTGGTTTCCTAAAGTTTTAGTATAAATATATTTAAACTATGACTGAAGTTGGAGATAGATTCAACAAATTCATATTTAAGCTGGTAGAGCTCCACTCTTGCGTGTCTAATTATGCAGGCTTAATGATAGTAACTTTTACCAAAGCTGGCGTCTCACTTATTTCTTAGTAATGGGAAATTTCTTTTAATCTACAAAAAGTGTGCTTTTGACTGCCACATAAGTATTGTAAACACGACCTAAGGCTTTTTCAAAACCATTTAATAATTTGTTTAAGCTAAACTGGAAATAAGCATAAACTTATCCAAACAGAATCTTGCTAAATCTAAATAGACTGGGAAAAGGAAGATTAGATGTAGCTAGATCTTGTAATCAAAATTCCAAACAGAGCCATCCTAGGCTATTGCCACTTTTAAAAAGTTACAAAATTATTATATTTGAAGATAGCTCTCACAGGCATCCATGATATGTAAATGCAATCCATAATCTTAATGAGTTTTTGGTTTACCTCCTTAACATGGCCAATTCTAATCAAGTCAACAAAGAGTGGTCCAGTCCTGTGCAATTTTAATTCAGAACAAAAAAAAATCTTACTATAAATATGATACTTTTTTGCTTCATTGACAGGTATAATTATGATAACAATGGCACTGAAAAAACTTCTAGGCACTCCCTCCCCAAGAACAAAAAAAAAATGTTAATTTTTATCATACTAATAAGCCAATCAGTTCACTGAAGAATATCAATTGAATTATCAATTCATGTCATACATAAGTCACAATCCTACACCAATTTCAGCAAATCAATCCAAGCAAGATCATGAAAGTAGTAGGTTCAAATTCTAAAGCAGCATGCAGGTTCTAATAAATCATTAATTCCAAACGACCTGGTAGGACATTGCTACTTGCTATTGCTTCTTTTACACTCATTTACCTGAAGTCACAGGCCATTAAAAATGCCATAAACAGCAAGTTAGGACTTTCAGCTTTGACCATCGGTAACTCTTTTTTCATTTATTTCTTCAAAACAAGAAATTAAAGCATCAACTCATAATCAATAAGTTCATTATGTTTATTCCTATATAATAGAAATTAAAACTTTATCCACAATTGCTCAACTTGAACTCTAAAAAAATACAATTAGGCAGCATAAAGTCTTACATTGCATGAGTAAATATACTGAAAAAGAACTAATCAACTAAAGATGAACTTACGCGAAAGATGAATCTATCGAGCAAGAACCTGGCCACGACGAAACCAAAAGCAAAGCAAAACGAAACAAAAAAATGCCAGACATTTGGAACAGCATTTGGCTTCCAGATCGAGTCCATTACACGATTCCAGACTTAGTTACTTTCCATATTCAATCAACACCAATCTCAATTAAAACAAAATATCATAAATTCCAACACTTGAACAACTGAATAGTCAGTGACTGGCCGGAGAATCAGCAGAGAGAGAGAGAGAGAGAGAGAGAGAGAGACAAATCGCAGAAGTGGACTGGCGGGGAAGATGAACCGCTGAAATTTCTCTATTTTCAAAAAGGGAGAATTGCACTTTGGGTCCCCAAACCTTTAAAATTATTGTAGATTATAACCAAACCTTTTATTTTCACAGTCAAGGTCTCAAACCTTTCATCTCTATTTCTATATAAAAGAACCAAAATTGTGAAAAAAAATGAAAAACTAGATAATCTATAATTTCATCTAAAAGATTTCTCTTTTTTATATCACTAGTGTGACCAATGTGTGTTGCGTGTTCGTTAATAAAACGAGTTCACTTATTTTAAAAAGGATCTAAAAGAATATACTGCGTAAAAAACAAAATAATGAAGGCATTGATAAAACGATAGATAAATCATAATAATACTGAAAGGAGACGGGATTACCTTTATTGATGTCTTATTTACTACAAGTTTAGCCTAACATCATAATGTTACAAGAAATCATATTAAAGTAATAAGACATCACCCCAATTTGAAATATACGAAGAAAAAGAGAAGTTGCGAAATCTTAAATCATCAATCTTCATGGATTAATATCCAGTTCATCTTATTCTTTTTGCCCAAAAATTGAGAAATAATATTCAAAAGATTGATTTCTTGTATCTTGCCTTTTGATTCCTTATGAAAGAGTAGTAGATTGCCTTTCTTGATTGCAAAAATTTGTATAATATATGACATGAGATATGTCTTCAATTGTTGAATGAAGTTTTGCATTATTAAAGCCCATAATTAGGCAAAATTTGCGTCCAAAAAGATTTTCATAAAGTAATCAAATCAAATAAGAAAACAACTCTGATTGTCAATTTTATTTCTGTGCTATTTCACCATGTACAGGGGATGCGATAGCATTTATGAAAAATTGGCTTATGTTCTGCCATAAGTACCTCTACTTCGGCTAGGCCTTTCTTCGAGGCTTGGGAAAAGAACGTCACCACTCATGGTCTTCCTACTCTGATCTCGCTTCGGGTTTACTTGGATACTATCTAGGGAAATACATGGAAATGACCCAAATAGAAATGTCATTTTTCCAAAATAACCTTTGGCTAATTTTGATACCCAAAAATACCCCATTTATAATATTACATAATAAGTTAATGAAAAATAGAAATCTTTCATTTTAGTCCTTAAAAATTAAATACTGCTTAAATTTTAATAGATTACCAATTTATTTGATTTATTATATTTTTTTGATTCATTTAATTTTTGTTCGTTCTAAGTAGCACTCCTTTGTTGGTATCAGAGCCACAGAAATCATGGAAATAAAAATAAGAAAAATAGATAATTATTGGTGTTTAGAAGAAGAAAAGGGTAGTTATATATTTTTAAAACATATTCATAATAGATTAAAAATAATGACTTTAATAATAATTAAAGAACTTCCTAAAGAAATAAAGAAACAAATATTAGAAAAATTAATAATAGAAAAAATAAAAGATATTTATACATATGAAAAAATTATTAATATATATGAAGATAAAGAAAATAATTTATATTATAAAGAAAAGTATGAGTACAAGTAATAATACACATTTAAAACTAAATAAACTACTTATAAAAATGAAAAAAAATACAATAAGAAATATCAAATATAATGTTAATAGCAGAAGAAATGAGAATATCAAAAAATAGAAAATTATTAAAATTAAAATACGAAAGACTAAGACTTGAGAGTAAATATTTTATTATAGTAAAAGAAGAATTAGTAGATCCAGAAACAGTTGAGAAAAGATTTAGAAAAATAATAGATAAAAAAGAAGATAAAAGATGCAAATTAACTTATGAGTTAGAAATAAGAAAAAATTAAGATGTCAATAAGTGAATATATGGAAGAATTAAAATCATTAATAAAAATATTAATAAATGATATACAAGATTTAAAAAATGAAGTAAAAGAAACAAGAAATGATATAAATATATTAAAAATTGAAATTAGAGAATTAAAAGAAAATAATAAAAATAAAAATAAGAAAATAGATAAAAAAAAAAAAACTTATAAAAAAAGAGATGATTCGAATAAGAAAGAAACATATAGAAAAAGAAAATATAGTAATAAAAACATGAAGTGTGGATG